AACTAAAAATATTCATTAATGTGGTTCTAGGTTGGCTATGTTCATGGGAAGAATGGATAGAAGACAATGTAGATGTTTTAAATCCAAGTTTCAAGCTTCTCACAAATGAATTTCCAAGGAACAGAAGTACAGAATGAAAAATCTCAAAACAGGACTAACAAGCCACTATAAGCAGGAAAAACAAAAACAAGAAAACAAAGTATCATCACCACAACAAAATCAAAGGCCATAGATACTGAAATTATAGGCTATGGAATATATGATAATCATGTTCAAAATGTTTAAAGAATTATTTTTGAAGAACTAAATAGAGGGGTGCCTGGGTGGTTCAGTCAGTTAAGCCTGCAGCTCCAGCTCAGGTCATGATCTTATGGTTCATGGGTTCAAGCCCCGTGTTGGGCACCATGCTGACAGCTCAGAGCCTGGAGCCTGCTTCAGATTCTGTGTCTCCCTCTCTCTCTGCCCCTCCCCTGCTCATTCTCTGTCCTCTGTCTCTCAAAAATAAATAAACATTAAAAAAAATTTTTTAATGACTAAATAGAAATCCTAGAAATAAGATATATGGTAATTAAACTTTATATACAATTTATTTAGCTTTATATACAATTTAAAAATAGTTTATGGACACGCTAAAGAGTGAATTAGGAGGCTAGGTGATTAAAGACTTTTTCCAGAATACTGCACAGTGATATATACATTAAAACTTCTAGTAGAGGATATATGTGTTTCTACTTATATATAAATATATTAGTATATATTTAAGTGTAAATGAAAGTATTCTAGGACTGTAAAAATCTTCACATTCAGGTACATAAGCAAGATCAGTGACATCCACACCTAAACTTGTCATAGTTAAACTGTAGAACACCAAGAACAAAAATAAAGGTTTATTAACAAGAACAAAAAGAATGGGAAATCTGACCAGGAATCTGAAACTAGATGGGTTTAGCAGAACTCAAGAAGCTTCCTCCCACTCTAAAATAATATTAGAGAAGGTACAAAAAGCAGCCCAATATATACCTCAAAACCCACAAACAGCTCAACGATGGGAGTATCTGATAATTTTGGAAATGGGAACAAAGTTGGGCCTAAAAAAGGAGGATTGACTCCATGTTGAAGAATTAGTTACCCAAAGCTTTGTAACGCCAATTAGTAGGATTGCTGTTTTTCTCTGTCAGCAGAGCCCTGAAGTTGTATCCTCCAGAGAGGATAGAACACAGTGTTTCTTGACTAAGGGGCTCAGTGCATAGTTGAGGGCAGAGGCAGCCACTACAAGGAAAACTGATTAAATGAAATGTTTACATACTGGCTGTGGACACACCACCATCCCTCCACCAGACCCCTGGCTCAGAAACATCAGCAGTCAGGTTTTACTAGCAAGGAAGGAGAAAGGAATAATCTCTCCTGCGGAATTTTCCAGCTCTTGCAAAGGCACCTATGTGCACAGGTGTCTGGGATTTCCCGATGAAATGGTTTAACCAAAACACCTTGAAATAAGCTTGTGTTCAGTAAGCCCCATGCATTGATATGGAACTCCAAACATCTTTTTATTTTTTATAATTTTTAATGCTTATTTTTCAGAGAAAGACAGAGAAGGGACAGAGTATTAGCTGGGGAGGGATAGAAAGAGAGGGAGACACAGCATATGAAGCAGGCTCCAGGCTCTGGGCTGTCAGCACAGAGCCTGATGTGAGGCTCAAACTCAAAAACTGTGAGATCATGACCTGAGCTGAAGTTGGATGTTTAACCAGCTGAGCCACCCCTCGGTCCCCTTCAAACATCTTTTTAATGGTCCATTATTTTTTTTTTTTTAAAGTTTTTTTAACACTTATTTATTTTTGAGAGACAGAGAGACAGAGCGTGAGTAGGGGAGGGGCAGAGAGAGAGACACACAGAACCCGAAGCAGGCTCCAGGCTCTGAGCTGTCAGTACAGAGCCTGACATGGGGCTTGAACTCATGAACCACCAGATCATGACCTGAGCTGAAGTCGACCACTTAACCAACTGAACCACCCAGGCACCCCTTTAATGTGCTAGTCTTAAAGGAGAGCTCGCAGTCAGAGATCACTACTAGATACCGAGGAATAACACAAAGAGACCTTAAAGCAAAGAAACAGAAAAAAATCACTTTACGTTTTTAAGTGTATTTATTTATTTTGAGAGAGAGTGCAAGACAGGGAGGGGCAGAAAGAGAGGACAGAGAGAAAATCCCAAGCAGGCTCCACATTGTCATTGCAGAGTTGGACATGGGGCTTGAACCCATAAACCCTGAGATCATGACCTGAAGTGAAGTCAGATGCTTAACTTACTGAGCCACCCAGGCAGCCATGGGAAAAAAGCATTTTCAAAGATACAGCCATGCAAAGAGAAAAATACATTTTAGTTATTTTTTATGTTCAGGGAGAGAGAAATAAGATAGTGCAGCCATAAAAGAAGAATAAGATGCTTTATTAAAAGGACAGGAAAAAGGAGTCGTGTAAGAAAAACCACCCAGCTTTTCCCTTCTGAGCTTTTGTCCTTTACTACTCACACAGAGCTCTTGTCTCTGTCACTTCTGACACTTCTGGTCACTAGATGTGTGCAGATTTTCCCCCAAACCAAGCAATTCACCATGACGCCAGCTGGGTGTCCTGGAATTTAACTCAATTCTACACTCTCTATCAAGAGATACTATCATCGAGCAGGTTAAGGGCACAGTCCCATGAGACTAACCCCCCCCAACTTCAGATGCCAGCCACAAGTAGTGGTTCCGCCAGTTACCCCCAACTTCTGTCAGATCTGGCTACAGATCGAAGGTTCCCATGACCCCCTCCTCAGGTCTGACTAATTTGCTAGATCTGCTCACAGAACTCAGGGAAACACTTACATTTAGCACTTTACTAACAGGTCTGATCAAGCATACAGATAAAGAACCAGATGAAGAGATACATAGGATGAGGTCTGGGAGGGATCTGAGACAGCAGCTTCTGTCCCTGTGAAACTGTGGGGTGTGTCACCCTCCTGGTGTGGCCGACCTGGAAGTTCTCTGAACCCCCATATTATTGGGGTCTTATATTACAGCCTCCCTCCCCTCTAGAAAACTGGGAGTGGGGCTGAAAGTTCCAAGCTTCTAATCATGGCTTGGTCTTTCTGGTGACCAAACCCCATCCAGAAGCCCACCTTGAGTCACCTTATTAGACCAAAAAATGCTCCAATTACTCCTATCATTTAGGAAATTACGAGAGTTTTAGCAGTTCTGTGCCAGGAACCAGGAGGCAGAGACCAATGTATATATTTTCTGTTATCTCACAGGAGCCACTGAAAATTATAAACACATAGACATTAGAAGGGCTTAAATGTACAATTAAGATAATCTCTGAGAAAGTAGAGCAGAAAGGCGAAGAGATAAAAAATAAGAGCAAATAAAAGAAAGTTAAGACACCAGCTCATCATATCCAAAATTCAAGTAAGAGTAGGGAATATAGGCAAACATCAAAAAATATAACCCAATAATATTTCATAGAGCAGAAGTTCAGGAATTTCCAGATTGAAAGTGTTCACAGAGTGCTCAATACATGGATAAAAATAAACCCACAACAAGATACACCATTGTAAAATTTCAAAACACTAGGAGCAAAGAGCTTCAACAGAAGTGAAGTCAACACAGTGCCTTCAAAATTCAGAGGTCAAATTATTTACAACTTGGAGCTCTGTATTCAGTCAAACTATCAGCATTACAGAGGCAAACAGAGAGGGCTTTTAAGGTAGTAGTGATGCTTTATTTTTCAGATTTGCTAGAGGGTGTATGAGTATTTGTTTTATTATTCTTTAAGCCATAGAAGTATGTTCTATATACTATTTAAACTCTATCACCTCATTAAACAACAACAACAAAAAAAAAGATCTGCAAGCAAAACTGCAAATTTCCTTGCAAAACATTAGCAAGCAAAATGTTAGAACTTGATGGAGTTGAATGATGGTATATGTATATTCTGTTATTCTGTGTACCTTTTGCATACTTAATTTATATTATGAAAAAATACTTTAAGAAAAAAATGGGCTGGAAGGTGATATGGCAGAAGAGAATGAGTGACAGCACACTAAAAGACCATTCTGTTTTTCTAGAATGGTAAAAAGTGTTCTCCATGGTGGGCTATTATCTTTTCTCTACTAACTTAGTTTATCATTTTTACACTTACAGCTACTAAGCAGGTGATCTCAATGAGTAGTCCATTCCACTTACAAACAGCTACATGACCTTTTCCTTAAAAAGATTTTTTTAAAATGTTTACGTTGAAGAGAGAGAGAGAGAATGTGAGCAGGGAAGGGGCAGAAAAACAGGGAAGCACAGAATCTGAAGCAGGCTCCAGGCTCTGAGTTGTCAGAGGGTCTCGAATTCATGAATCATGGGATGATGACCTGACCCACAGTCGGATGATCAACCGACTGAGCCATCCAGGTGCCCCCCACAACATGACCTTTTCTGTCAAATTATAGACCTCTTGGCTTGTTACATATACCATACAAACTACATGTTGATGTCTTTTTTTTTTTTTTTTTTAGGTATTATTAGGCAGGCTATCACAACCCCATAACACTGTCTTATGGTTTATTACCTTGTGGAGGCTTTGGGTTCAGGCTAGTTAGGCTTTTACCACTTAGTTTTGCCTTAAGTAAGTTTCTGTCTTCTTTTTCAGTCTCCTCATTAGTATGCTGGAAATAATAATAGTGTCTAACTTGTAGGAGTTTTGTGAAACTTAATGTTAGCTCTTTTCATTATCACTCTTTGCAAATGTTAGGGTTGTATTGTCATAAACTAAAAGTGGTCATCATAGTCCTCTAACACTGATGGAGAAATACAGAATGAACATTTATACTTGTAAGCTCAGATATAAATGTAGTCACACTGCAGAGAGATTAATAAAAGAATCCTAAGAGAAATATAAATATGGTAACACTAAAGATCGGTATAGAGCACTACTAAGAGATCTCTGAACTATGAAGCTATTTGTTTTATTTGTATATATTTATACATAGAAACTTCATGAATTTGCATGTCAACCTTGTTCAGGGGCCATGCTAATCTCAATTGAATTGTTCTAGTTTTAATATCTGTGCTGCAGAAGGGAGCACATGTTCATTTCTTTTGAAATCCTGCTGGTACTTTTTTTTTTTTTCCCAACCTACACACCTGATCCTTATTATACTACAAAATATTTGACCTACAGCTAAAGACTTTTAGTTTGGTAAAAAAAAACACCAAAAACAAAATAATGATAAAATTACCAAAAAAAGAGGGGAAATGAACCCTTAGAAAACCAAAATTGTATGGCTAAAGTCTCACACAATCAGTAAGGTATCCTAAATACTAAATTCCTATACTCACTGGTTGCCTCACTTAATAGGTTGCATAGGTCACAATATTCATCAAAACTGGTATTAAATACAACATTTAAAAGATCAGCTGAACTGCATCAAAACATGTTTGTGATATTAAAAGATAGCATAAATCCATTTTGTCTTTTGATTAATATATTCTGCTTTTTGAGTATCAGTACAAAATCCCTGAATTAACTCTAAAATCATAATGCTATTTTCCATTAGACAAGTTTAAACTTGAAAACTTAGTTTATATAATGTTTCCTCAACCCAGAGGCATTGCTTATTCTTGCCCTTTCTAGCCTGTAAAATTCTAGAACTTTTTGAGTTTGAACTATGCTATATAGTATAGGTGCAAATACAAATGCATTACAGTTTTTCTCAGCTTTTCTTTGTTTGCTGAAACTCTTTGCAATTCTCAATTCTAAGGCAAATAAAACTTGACTCCACCCGTAGGTAAAGTGGTGACTCGGTAGCAAAAAGAGTAGTAAGCACATCCTCTTGAGCAAAACATTGGTTCTTTTACTGGAGCTGTTGAGAAAAAGATTCCCTTTATCTCCTGAGGTTTCTAAACTGCTAGAGTGTCAGTTTGTTGCTGTTTAGAGCCTGCTTGCTGGAAGCACTTGCCTAAGAATGAAGGTAACTCTGAAGCCAGCGGAGCAGATGGGAGGGGGGATTGTTTTTTAAAGACAGTGTTTGAATCTATCAGAAATATATCAAACCATGAATTTACCACTTTTGCAAGTAAAGAAACAGAGATTAAAGAAAACAAAAGGTCATGTGCTCGCTTCGGCAGCACATATACTAAAGAAAACAAAAGGTCATACAGGAAAGAAATTACCAAATGCTACATGGCTCATCTGTGAATAGCTTTAACATTGTCATAAAAATGTAAACAATGAATATTGATTTAACCAAAAGTGCTATATAATTACATGAGGTAGATGTGAGGATGAGAAGAGGGATAGATATGAAGGGGTAATGGCAAAGCAATACTGAATCCACATCTACCTTGTTAGGAAGTCAATAGGTAATGCCTAATTCTGCAAAATCAAGAAGCAGCACTATAAATATATTCTCTAAGAACACCGCCTGAAGTTACCCTTCTACCCCCATCCCCCAAACACTGATTTAGAAATCTTTGCCCTGGGCACTTGGTAGTCCCTTTTAATGTGCAAACTCATATCTTTCTATGCAAAGTGTTCTTGATTCACTTATTTGATTATTTTCTTCTATCCATTTCCTCTTAACTCCCTTTCTTCAATTACTCAGATGTTGGGCTTCCTGGACTGTTCTCTAGTTCTCTGATTTCTAAATCTTTTCTCTCTTGTGATCCTCTCATTGTCTTTTTTGCTCTACTTTCAGAAAGATAACTTCTACTTAACTATCTTTCAGCCTTTTATCATTTGTTTCAAAAAGTTTCTATTCTCATAATTTGAACTTTTAGGAGCTCTTTTTTTGTTGTTCTCTTTAGATGATAGATAATCATGCTGTTCTAATGCTGTGGATATGGTATACTCTGTTGTCTATTTGTGATAGATATGAAAGATGGTATTTCCATTTTCTTCCCTCCCCTCCGTTCATCTCTTCAGGGTTGCTTCCAACTGCTTGTTTCTGTCTTTGTCTCTTATTTAGAAACTCTCTTCAGATACGAAATGACCTTTGATTTTCTAAGAGTGTGAAGATCAGACAGCTATGGAAGCTCTGAGTACATCTGGGTGTAGTACCTTGATGTGGGCTTTGCCCTTGGTTGGTGATTTGGGTGGTCTCTTTCATGGAAGGAACACTGATGTCAATCAGAATTTTTACCTTTTCTTGGATCAGATTCCCAACAGGTGATTTTGCCATTCCTAGGTCTTGGAAGTAGAGGCTGGAAGCAGGCATTACAGGAACCAAGAGCAGAAAGACAAGAGAGCCATTCTGAGATCTTCCTATGTTCAAGTTCACTGAGTTCCACTATTTTTTAAAAATATTTTTATTTCTGGGGCGCCTGGGTGGCTTAGTCGGTTAAGCGTCCGACTTTCGCTTGGGTCATGATCTCACGGTTCGTGGGTTCGAGCCCCGCGTCGGGCTCTGTGCTGACTGCATTTAAAAACATTTAAATATATATATATATTTTTATTTCTTTCTAGGAGAGAGAGAGAGAGAGAGACAGCGTGAGCAGGGGAGGGTCAGAGAGAGAGGGAGATACAGACTCTGAAATAGGCTCCAGGCTCTGAGCTGGCAGTCAGCACAGAGCCCGACGCGGGGCTCGAGCCCACGAACCGCGAGATCATGACCTACGCGAAAAGTCGGACACTCAACCGACTAAGCCACCCAGGTGCCCCTGAGTTCCACTATTTTTAGCGTGGCTCCCCTAGCTTCGATTTTGCCTGGTGTCCTCGATTTCAAAGATCCTCTCTAGAATAAACCTGCCATGTTCTGTCTACCTGCACAGTAAATCCATTATACAGAATAGGGGGAGAGTTCTGGGGCAGGGAGTTGGGGGGAAAGGTGGAGATGTTTAACTGTACCCTAGAGATACTTCCCACTCATTCTTCTGTTGATAGCTTTACAGGTGCCACAGTTCAGAAAGACCTATTGCCAACAATTTGGAGCCTTTAGGAAATCAGAAATGTAAATTAATTTCTTACTTTTTCCCCATAGTTGCTTTCTAAAGTTTTAACAGGTAGTTACAATTTCTATGTCTGCTTTTCAGTTTCTAAGATTTTCTTGTATTGACTTCTCTTCTGCACTCTTTGTCCTTAGGAGGTTATTCTTTTTAAATTGCATTTCTCTCATTTTGATAAGTCTATAGAAAGGAAGCAAACACAAGTACAAGTATTTTACCCTTTATTTTAACCTAGAAATCTTCATTTTTCATTATCTTGGCTATTACAGCAAGCACTCTAAAGCTCTAAGTATTAGATTTATATGAAATATCTGAAGATAGGTTGTATCTTTTACAATGGTTTAGATTGAGCAGATTTAGGCAAACCATGGAAACTCCTATTTGGGTCTCAAAATTTTACTCAGCTATTATTAACTTCTCTAGAAGTTTATGCACTTTTAAAACTGACTCATAAAAAACTCTCCTCCCATTTTGTAGGTCCTAAAATCAAATTATTCTACACATAATATTTTGAATTCAATAAAAGATTGTTTCACTGATATAGACTGCTTTATTTTTACATCTATTTTCACCAAAATATTTTTCTCTATGTTTAGTAAATTGCTTTTTCATGCCATATCAACAATGAACAAGCTCTAAAACTGTATTTTCCTGGGGTACCTGGGTGGTTGAGTGCCCGACTCTTAATTTTGGCTAAGATTATGATTCTAGGATCATGGGATCAAGCCCCACACTGGGCTCTGTGGTGAGCATAGATCCTTCTTAAGATTCTCTCTCTCCTTTGGTTCCTCTCCTCTCTTCTCACTTGTTCTCTCTCTAAAATAAAAGCTATTTTTCTTATGACCCGATTCTGTTGTTAATGATAAAAACATTAGTTTATTTACCTTGACAGTTAACTTACACAAAAGGACAAATTTCAAGTGCCTCTCAACAATATAAATTCAGCTTTATAGAATTTATGAAATTATTTCTGCTAAATGGCAACTGGGCATATTATATAGATTAATATATGTTTTTTGTTTGTTTCCATGTCCTGCACAGTGAATTTCACCTTGAACTTACACAATAAATAATTATTGAAGCACGGTTGATATTCAACATAATGATCTTGAGTCAGGATTACACACAAGAAATCAAATAGACTGGTAAGAGTCTTTAGGTAATTGTCATAAAAAATTTCGCACCAGAAAAATGACTTAACTTTTCCCTTCTAAAGAACACCAAGAGGGGCCAGGCGCCTGGGTGGCTCCTTCAGTTTAGTGTCTTACTCTTGATCCCAGCTCAGGTCTTGATCTCATGGGCATGAGTTCAAGACCCTTGTTGGGCTCTGTGCTGGGTGTGAAGCCTACTTTAATTAATTAATTAATTGATTGATTAATTCAAAAATTTAAAAACACCAAGATAGACTGTATAGAAAAGAGGAGAAATGATTGGGCAGAAGGCCCAATAAGATTGAATAATTACTCCAATTTTATTTTTTTTATTCAAATTATATTTTCAAACTGTTTTCCTAAAGTTTTTATTGCTTCATTAAATGCTGTAGTCTTTGATGCTCTGGAAATCTGTTTAGAAATGGCCTAGAAGTCTTCTGTGAATGCTTGCATGCTCATTATCTCATGTGTTCCTTGCCAGCACCAGGAGGCAGAACCAATATTATTTTTCTTTTTTGAGGGTGAAGAAGTTCTCAGAGGTCACCTCATTGGTAAGGGTTTCATCCACACTGAATTGTTTTGAACAGGTATATGGAATCTTCACTCAGTGAATACATTAAGGAACCTGTTTGCAGCAAACATTTTCAATATGTACATGGTATTGTACAAAAAAGTCATGAGATTCAGATAGAATCTTTTACCTTACCACCATGAAACAAAATTGTCACTAAGACATAGATTGTAAATGCTTTGAAAGCAAAGAACATTTCATTTATTTATTTCTCATATCTCTTCATCAACCTAGACCATTAATAGATGTTCAGTGCCCTTGCTGGTTAAATAATTGACAGGAGTTTCCAAATGGGCTTATATTTTCCAATTTAAAATGGGTTTTATTAAAATTTACTACCTGGGTAATATTAATTAATGTTACTTCAATGAGTAAGATCTGTAATTTACATTTCTCCTGGTTAGTAAGTTTTCAAAAGTTG